CTTAGGAACTCGGATGACCGAAGCAATAATGCTCTCATCACAACCACTGCAGTGGACATTTATCAGGAGGTCATTTCAGCTGTGTCAAGAGTAGTCTGTAGTGATGATCTCATAATCAGCTTTCCTTCCTCAATGAGAGCTTCAAACTATCCCTGGAGCTCTTTGGGGAGTTTATCTGAAAAGATTGTCAATTTATTGTAGTTCACTTGATGTACTTGGCCGTAAGTGCCTGACAATTTGCTACCCTGGGGTTTTGGCTGGTGAAGGAAAAGATCTTTCTACCAACTAAGTCCAAGGACTTAGCTTCCTTATTGGAAGAGCAGATTTCAACTGGTGCTTTCGGCTTTTCTCTGAGGCTGCTTGGACTACCCAGGATTTAGGCACTGGATGAGTGAATAAAAATTCCACCCCTTTGCCTGGGACTAAGTTTTTTTTTCTCTGCCCACTTAAGGGTGGGGCACACATGGTTGATGTGTGCCACACCACCTTTGCTGGTTTCAATACTGCTTCGTTAATAGGCAATGAGATTTTACTGGGTCCCATGCTGTGCCAGATATTACTTCCTCTAAAGGGATTTGGAGCATCTCCACAACCCTCTTCAGCAGGTCTTAATATTGCTTGATGTCATCAGAAGGCGAAGAGGAGGTAGGCATAACTGCCTCATGTAGGGATGAGAACGAGAACCCTGACTGACCCAGCAGTTCTGGAGGTGTCTCTGGATTCTTCTCTTCTGTCAGCTCGTGAGGAGGGTCTGCTTCCTCTATGTGAGGAGAGTGATGCTGCGAGTCCTATCTCAAACAAACCGATTCAGAGCAACATGTATACGGACCCAGTAGGACCAACAGGATTGGTCAAATGGTGGTTGGGGTGCATCCCAAGGCATAGGGTACTTAAGTTCATGTGGAAGATAATCCATTTTGTACGACTTTTATGAAGCCCATGAGACTCTTGATACCTTGTCTGGACTGTGGGAGGTAGCATTCTCTCACCCATGTTCATGCTATCAAATGAGAAGGTAAGATCTTGTTCCATGGATGGTGCCGATAGACTCAGCTGCTTGGCCGCCTCTCTGTTAGTTTACAGTATCAGGGAATGGGTGTCCATAAGTACCAATGGTAGTGTTGATTTAGCAATACCCTGATCGGGAGACAGTCTGGGAAGAAAGACCTCCATGTAGCCACTTGGGAAAAAACCGATGTCTGTGGAGATAACGGCGCCTGAAAGGATGGGTGATTCAGCAACTTGCAGGACAAGGAGGATTTGCTGGGTGGTAAATTTGTCCCCTGAAGAGGGGGAACAAAGGCTGGTCTCTGTTTGCACCGTTAGAGTCAAATTGGTTGGAATTCTCAGTACCAGTTTCCTTCCTTCCCTCTCTAATGTCCAGAGAGTGGGCTACCGGATCCCTCACTGCAGCCCTTTTCTGCTGCCAAATTCCTGGCTTTATCCTAGTCCCACCTGTTCCTTCTCAGATGGCTCCTTCATCCTTCAGGGGTTACTTAGGCTACAGCTGTGCAGAAATAGGTGGCCTATCTGGTTAATTGATGCCTTCTCAGCCCCATCAACCCCTTCTAGGGTAATATGGGGTGAACATCCCATCATACTGGGCATAGTAATCACCTTGAAGAGTACAGACAGGAAGATGGGGGGGGAAGAGTCCCACTAACTATACTAACTCTCAACTACTAATCTATAAACTATTCTATAACTATTTTCAGGTAATTAGGAAGGAAGGAAATTTGCTGAACACTGGAGCTTTCCAACACACACCATAGGTAGCAAAAGGAAATTGGAAATACGGTTGGTCCACACGGCCACTTTATACCCTTAGTAAACAGCACGTGGAGAACTGCACAGGCACAGACTGGAGGACACGATTAGCAGAAATCTTCTGGTCTCATGCGCCCATAGAGCACCAGCACCCCACAGTGGAATACAAATAGGCACCAGCATTTGAGGAACAACTCTACACATGCGCAGCAGCAGGGTCCCCATGGACTCGCATTGTGCAGTAATGTGGAGTAGATTTACACCCCAGTTTGCCACGAACTGAAAGTTCATGTAGACAAGCCCTCAACATGCTCGAGAGGGTGAGTGGGATGCAGTTACAACAGAAGAGTGGACAGAAATATCCTTTATAATGCATTCATTGGTTTTGCTGCGAAGTCAACCTCATCCAGACACCTTATTGATATCTGCATTGATCGTCAAAATAATTACAACAGAGGAGTTGCAGAGAGATCCAATCTGTTATCTCCTGGCTCTAGATGGGGCACTCAGGTATTAATTCAAAGCAGCTAATTTAAGTCGGTAGGATTCAACGTGAGCTGCATGAACAGCTAAGAATAAGCCTGTGAAGGCAACCCCCCTTTTCAAGCTAACATGTGCATGCCCTCCCCTGTGCTTGGAGCACTCACCAGTAACAAAAATTTCTATAAGACAAGATTTAGTTACAATCATTGGGTTAGTGTTGTGAACTGAAGAGGTACTCATGGCTCAAAACATCTGGCAAAGATTTTTAAACAGGACACACTCAAAAAACTAGACTCATTTTCTTCTGCCTTACGTAAGCTAGTAAGCGAGAGTTAGATGAACAGAAAGCAATAACTGGCTTGTATGTAATATGCTTGTTATTTTTTACATGCCAACATAACATGCTTCAAAACCCCTAATTGTCAGAGGATGACTTATGTCAGAGCTATCCTTGAAAGGTTGCAGAGTAACAGCCGTGTTAGTCTGTATTCGCAAAAAGAAAAGGAGGACTTGTGGCACCTTAGAGACTAACCAATTTATTTGAGCATAAGCTTTCGTGAGCTACAGCTCACTTCATCGGATGCATACTGTGGAAAGTATAGAAGATCTTTTTATACACACAAAGCATGAAAAAACGGGTGTTTACCACTACAAAAGGTTTTCTCTCCCTCCACCCCATTGTAAGGAGAGAGATCACTTTAGATAAGCTATTACCAGCAGGAGAGTGGGGTAGGGGGAGAGAAAACCTTTTGTAGTGGTAAACACCCATTTTTTCATACTTTGTGTATAAAAAGATCTTCTATACTTTCCACAGTATGCATCCGATGAAGTGAGCTGTAGCTCACGAAAGCTTATGCTCAAATAAATTGGTTAGTCTCTAAGGTGCCACAAGTCCTCCTTTTCTTTTTGCTATCCTTGAAAGAACATCAGTTGTTCTGTAAGAAAAATCAATTATGAACCCATTTATGCAATCAACTCTCGACATTACAAATCAGACCTAATTACATTTTGCCACAGCGCTCACACTATATTACTATTTTTGGCAGAATGAACTAACATCTTATCCAAGGATTAACTTTTCCCCCCAATCATAAAGAGTATCATTCTACTATTTATAATTATATGCTTCCCAGTGGTACTTCTAACAGAATTAGAATGTGTCTTGTGTGCACGCAGGGTGGCTGTCAAAAGATTTCTCTCCACTCAGAACACAAAGACTACAATTCAACCCCCAAGCACCACAGGACATTACTGGAAATCAGCTTTTCTTGAAGGTTGAGACACACAGGCTTTTCTAAAGATCTTTTTTTAAACAACATTGGTTGCAGTCACCCTTCCAGCCTTCCCTGCCATGTACACATGCAACAAACGCAGATTAGCCACAAATAAAGACATGCAATACGTTGAATAGTGAAATCAGAAATGCGGCACCAATTAAGATCTGGCTGAAAATTCATCCCAAATTATGTTATAATAGATTGTGTATATTTCAGTCTCCGTATCCTCCCCTGCTAAGTGCAAAGTATGACAGAATGAGATATTTCTGTATTGAATTGTGAACTCCGTTTTCTATTGTAACATCCATTTTCTGCTTGTGCTGAACATGAGTAGCCCTTGCCCAAGGCAAATCTATTCTGATATATCCTGAATGGCTACTCTGACCAGGAAAGGTGGTTGACATCTTGTTCAGGGACTATTGAGCAGAAGCAATCATAGAGCAATCTAGGGCCAACAATTTTGATTCTCTCAACTTCTGGCCCAACCCCAGGGAACAATGGATTTTCCACACAGAGGCTGGAAGGAAGAGACAAGCTTTTCAGCTGAGCACATGGCAAAGAAAGAGAGAGAGAGAGAGAGAGATTGCATGAAAAGGGTGGCCATTCATTGCCACCTACACGAAGTGATGGCTGGAGACAGAGAAGGCAGGAGGGAATCTGCTTAGTCTGAAATGCTGACAAGACCTCAGACTCACAGACGGGATGAGATCAGGCTATGGGGGATCGGTGCATCTCACGAATTTTGTTATTTTTCAAAGATCTTTAACTTTAGTGCTTTTTAAGAGTAAATTGACTGTGATTAGTAAATCCCTTTGCTAAACCTGTGTTTCTTGTTTCCCTGAAGGGGTTAAACTAGAAACCAGAGTGCCCACAACCTAGAGGGAACTTTCATGGATCATAGCTATGCAACTAGAGGCTTGGGTGGTCTGAGGGACTTGTTCCAGGGTCTGGGGTGGCTTCAATGGAGAGTCCCATGTCCCAAGGAAGGGCTCAGACAAGGAGACTGAACCTGGGAGTGCCCTTACAGATCCAAAGCTGGAACCCTGACCAAACTCTGGCCAGCCCCAGTAGGCTTGGAAGCACATGGGACACAGTTGCTGGGTCCACTCCCAACAGAGACTGGGCCAGGTTGTGACACAGAGCAGCTCTTATTTTGTAGGTATGTCCTTCAAACAGGCCACTTGGGGTTACTGCTGGTATTTAACTCAAAGGGACTAGTTTATTCTGACAGTATGTTGGGAGAGTAGCAAAAGTCAGCACAGTTCTCAACCCTCAGATTATTTCCAAGTGCTGATCAAAGGGCTTGAGGTGGTGAACATACAAGAAGGGGAATGGTTTAATTGTGTATCTGAAGAATTAGTGCGTGACAGTGATTCCATATGTCACAAAAATGCCCAAAACAGGGAGATTCACTGGAGAAAATCCATGCTCTACACAAGAGAGCCTGAAAATACACCATTTATAGGCACTTACCCTATACATGGAGAGGTCGATACGGAGTGAATTGTGCAGCTGGTCCAGCAGTTTAACAAACCTTTCTTTCTGTTGGTCGGGAAAAAATATAGTAAATAACCTCATTCTCCATCACAGGAAATTAGACCTAATCAACACTCCCAATAACGAGAGTGCTGCCCGAGAACTAGCGCTGGATCACAGAAGAGTGGGAGGAAGTTTAATGGATTTATTCTATTGTGCAAACTTGGAGGGAAGATAATATTTGCTTCAGGTCTCTGAATTTACTCCTAAACTTGATGTAATAGTAATTTCAGTATAACATTAGAAGGGTCAGGAAAATTCCCCTTCATCACTTAAAGGAGACATATGTACCATTCAAGTATAGAGAGAATACAAGACCACAAATAAACTTATTGAAACTGATGTATGAATTCCAGCTATTGATCTGCATGGTTGCAGGTACATAATGATCACATTTAAAAGAAAGACTTATTCCCAAACAGGTTCCAACCAGTGATACGAGCCCTAGCTCTTGTAAGTTAGATTTTCGATTTTGTTTTTTTCTTGCCAAACAAAAAACTGCCAACATTTCATTTCATTTGAAACCTTTTCAAAATAAAATGTCAATTCAAAACAAATGTTTGTTTTCGGGGGGGAGAGGGAGGGAGGGGAATGTGGGGTATGTGTGTGGGGGGGTGACCAAAATGATCAGGTTGACCTGAAATTGTGAATCGTTTCAGTGCTTGAAACGTGCATTTAAAATTTTTTGTCCAGCTCCAGTCTCTGCCTTACTTGGGGCCCAACCTCTGGCGGGTGCTGGTTCGGCACAAAAGCAATCTCCCCTTCAGTCAGATGTGCTCTCCCCCGTAACAGAGCGTGGCTTGTCCCAAACCCCATTCTGACAATCTTAAAAAACCCAAGCTCTACTGCATATTACAGGGAAAACAATTTAACAGGAGGGCAGTGGGGACTGGACAGTACAATCCATGTCTTAATAAATCAGTATTGAGTTCCCCCCACAACAGAGTAGAACCTGAGATACACAAACATCAAGTGCAGCAGCTGTTTGGAGACAGACTTTTAAAGAAGTTGCTAATTTAAGTTCTGAAACCATCACATCCCACGGTATACATTATCTATAGTACCTCACGCAGCGTTCAATACAGTTTGCTCATTTCCACACCATTTGTATTCTGGTGTTACTGGAGCACAGAATGCAAGCATCACAATGCATTATACTGATTAGTATCTAGTACCGATGACCAAGACCACATCAGTTGTGTTAATTCCTCATACAGAAGAGTCCCACTGCACCATCCAAGGATATAATGCTCCTAGTGATTCACTTTAACGTCCACGAAAGCCATAAGCAAACCAAGCAAGTAAAACCGTAACAGTAGCATAGCAGGACAGTTAACACTGAAACATACCCCAAAGTTTGAGGCGGCAAAGCGGTCAGAAGCAGACACGTTTGTAGATGCAGTCGTGTGTGCGTAGTAGGCATTGATGTTGGCCAGTAAGGTGCTCATCACAGCTGGCACTCCTGGACACATGTACTTGGAGGACAGACATGCAAAGTGCCTGGAACAGCATAAGCAAGGTGAGTTATGGAGAAGACACAAAGATGCTCTAAAGTTTACAAGGTTATTTCTGGCCCTCGGGGAAAAGCAGAGCTATAGAGTTGATTCTTTCAGCTATTTCCACCCCATTAATATTGGCAACACACGGCTCAAAGTACCATATCAATGAGAGCTGTAGCTATAATCCAGAATTTCAACTTCTTGACAAGTCTCCATTGTCCCAACACTTGACTTTTCTGCAAAGATACCAGCTGGTAGTAGCAAAATAAATGCTTTTAGCATGGCCCTGGAAACATTACATAATAGCCTCTCAATTTGGCAATTTATTGATAAGTCCAATCCTGAGATTCTTCTGTTGCTCCAGGATACGGTGATTCTGAGACAATGCCTGATGCAAGGAGACCTGCAAAGCATACTGCTCCTTCCAATAGTCAGTAACTTCCTAAGTGACGTGCCAGCAGGAATTGCAACACACTCCCTGCCTTGAGTGCAGCAGGATCTACATACCACTATCTTTGTGCTTTACAGACATTTCTTTGATTCTCTAGGGCTAATCCTGTCATCCTGCAGGAAGTATGTTGTCTCATTTGCATTTTCTCATATAATTGCTCTTATTAAAGTGTAAGGAAATCTCTTACAGGAAATCTTAAAATTATTCCACCAGCATTTGGTCTTGAGGAGTGATTAAAGTAAACAACCAAAGAAAAGCTGGTATAAATAAGGAAAAACAGCCCTTTAAAAAAGGGCTAATATTATAAGACATAACACAAGAGAAGAGTGTCCATGTGTCAGAAACTTGTTAGAACTTCTGCTACAAATTCCAGAGAGATTCTTTTAAACATGAAACAGATCATAATCCCTGTGTCATCCTTAGGCAACACGCAGTCATTAGCTTCCATGTTACTCACCTTCCAAGTAAATTGACAGGGCTTTACATGAAAATATTTAAGAATCAATGTTTCAGATAAACACATGGCATTGCATTAGTTGGATATGGTAGGTACCATACTGGCCTACTGGTAGTTCAGGCGCTCAACTAGTACTGTATAAAAATCTAGACAAACAGACCTGCATCTCTCTACCTGTGTCTTTCACAGATACGTTTATGGAAGAAAGAATGATCTCCAACTACTTTAATTCTTCTGAAAAACTGAAAAGCCCGATTCCCAGCAGAAAGCTGCTATCAGGGTTTGAGAAGGGATGTACTTTTTAGCAGTTCTTAAAGATGTAGCATAACTGATGAAACGTAGGTTCTATATGTGAGCAAAGAACACCTGGGGGCTGGCTAGCACAGCTCTATTTCAGTAATTCCTTTCCACTTTGATTATCATCGTTCAACTGGCAGAAAGTGAAGATATGTGCATGGAGAACGACCTGTGGAATGCATTCAGTGCAAAGGCTTCAGGATGCCCCAGAACTGAAACTTCAACTTCAAAGGTGAGTTTCTTCAAGCTAATCTGCCTCATTCAATATTTAACTGAAGACAAAAAGCAAATGCAATACAAATGGTGGTCTGCAGGAAGACGCAGAGTGCATTAGGAACCCAAGTCAGAGCTCAGTGTTTAGGAAAGGCCCCCAGGAAACCAAGAATTGGAACAGTCTAGTTTCAAACAGAGCAAACCAGGTCATCGCCTTCGGCAAATCCTCCTACTTAAAAACTGATTGTTCTGGTTCTTGACCCAGGATTCTTTGATTACCATGAAAGAGCACTGGTGTTAAATTTGGGTCACAAATACCCTTCTTCCTCATCCCCACTAGACGTTTTTATTTGGGCGTAGGGAGGACACATTTTAAATAACTCAGCGGTCAATTAATGGAGGACCCAGAATCTCACACCATCAATGGTTTACCTCTGGGAATCAAGCTCATGCTTATTTACATCAACACCACTGGATACGGCTGCTCAGACTTGAAATTCAAGGGGCAGGACTATCAGCCAGCTGTGGGTTCCGAGTCCCTCAATCCTGATCCTTCTTCACCCACTGATTTCTATCTTTTGAGGAAGCTAAGCGAAGAGCATGATAGCCCTTTCCTACTCACAATAAACCTAAAGGACAGTAGCCAGCAGAGCCAGATGGGAAATCGCAGGCCATGCCAGCCATCCTAAAAATATTGAGTACCCAACATATTTAGAACTCTTCCCTTTGAGATTAAATAAATTAACTACAGCAAGGGTTCAGTATGAGGAACACATGGAAAGTAACTTACGTCATAGCCTGGTATATTGTTTCTATACCATAACGCATTGCAAATTCATCCACGATCTCTTGGGCTGTCTCATCAAAATACACCTTCCAGGCATCATCTCCTTTGGCATCAGGGATCTTCACCACCCCGTTCCCTTGAATGTCTGTGAGATAGTGGAAGAGGTTCTGAAATGGAAACATACTAAATTAAACCTGATGTGTTGGAAGCCTCTAAGGCTGAGCGCAACATGACCGTCTTGGAACCACCCTGGAGACAGAACATCTGAAACCCCTTTGCTTTTTTATTAATTTATTTCAGTTTTCTTCCTCAGCATCCATGACAGAATTCCTCAGATTCATCCCTACAATTTCACCTACCAATATAAATAACTCACTCATTCTCTGAGGAAATAAAGCTTTAGCTATTCCATCAGTGCTCAAATTTATGTTAACAAAGGACAGCATGGACAACCTGCCCCCAGGACCAAACCCAATGTGCATGAAGTGGAGCAGACCTTTAACACAAGCGTGAGGCCTGCAACTACAGGTCACCGTCCCCATGGGCCACACCTCAGTATTGACGGTAAGGGAAACTGCAAGCTGTGGTTTCAAATAATGGTTAAAGGTATGTGCAACTTTGGATAGCACCAGCAGGAGAGTGAATTTGTGTGGGGGGGTGGAGGGTGAGAAAACCTGGATTTGTGCTGGAAATGGCCCACCTGATGATCACTTTAGATAAGCTATTACCAGCAGGACAGTGGGGTGGGAGGAGGTATTGTTTCATATTCTCTGTGTATATATAAAGTCTGCTGCAGTTTCCACGGTATGCATCTGATGAAGTGAGCTGTAGCTCACGAAAGCTCATGCTCAAATAAATTGGTTAGTCTCTAAGGTGCCACAAGTACTCCTTAACTTTGGATATGTCCTTAATGTGACTTTGTATAAATCTAAAGAAATAAAAATAAAATGGATGGAACTTCACAAGCATATTTGATTCACAAACTACATGTCTGCCACGCACCCGAATCATACAGATGCAGTCTGCCCATAGTAAAACCACCTAACAGAACAGTGCAAAAATTGGCTTAATGCTTTTTCAGCTTCTCTGTCACATCATGGACCATTCACAATGATCCCCATGGTCTGAGGTGCTCAGAATGGAAAGCTAGCCAGCCGTTTCACCATGATTCTACAGCTTCCTTAATCATTCTGGCACAACAAACTTCACTATGCAGCCACAAGCCTTTGCCCTCCAACGTTTCAAGCTAACAGTCACACAAAGAACAAGCTGTGACATTGCCTAAAACAAGGTGCAGAACAAAGCCTTCGAAGGTTTAACACTCCACTTTACATTTGTAATTTAATTAGATTGCAAGGCCCTTGGGGGAAAAAGCACCTCCCTCAGTGGGCCAAATTGTGCAACTTTTACTCCAAGGGAATTCCCACTGGTTGCAATGAAAGTTCTCTTGAAGTAAGGACTTTGTAAAAGATGCAATAAAGTATTTTCTTCCGCCAGCGAAATCTCAGACTGATTGGTCTCCTGAAACTTAAAAGGCTCTGTAGGGGAGATAAAAATGACTTAAAACGGACAAACTGTTTAAACTAACGTAACGGTCCTTTCCCAGGCATTCATTATTTGCCAAACATTCTGATCATTATGATCTTTGGAAAAAGGGATATTTCTAACGATATCCCGACTGACTTGGGCTCAGAAAAGAATCAGCTACGTACCCTTATTCATTCCAACCTTCAGCCTCATCTAGTTACACTGGAAAGGCTTTCACCCACTGCTGCTGTACAGTAATCAACACACGTGCAGTTCAGCATATTTCTCAGTGTTCCTCCAACTCATGTCGTATACAGATACATAAGCCTTCAGGACATTCACCTCCTCCGTGTGTAAATCAAGTGATGAAAAATCTCATGTTCTAATTAGGAGCCACAGGACTTTTTGCTTTAACCTATGATTTCTCCCGATCTAATAATTTTAGCTGCAAAGCATCTCAGTTTTGTCTGTGATATACAGACACATTGGATAAAAGAAGGAAAGAAATGATCTTTTAAAAGGAGGAAGGGAATGACCCTGCATATTCAGAAGGGGGAAAAAAACCAGACAATTAGAGAAGCAGAGTTGCCACTGAACTAAAAAGCGATGATTTGACCGTAACACCTGCTTGCCAGCCCGTTACATTTAGTTGACACCTCTTATCCTTATTCTTCCACCTCCCAGAGGTATCTGGCCCACTTTTGCCCACCTCAAGAGACACCAAGGATTGAACAGCCATGGACACTGGATTATCATTATCCTCTATTCCCTAACGGTCCCTAGTAGTAAAGTGGTGCAGCAGTGTGGGGGAAGATTATACTGCCATTGCCTGCACTCCGCCTGCTCAGTGGATAAATAGAGGGGCTTCACCCCCAACACTGATACCCTAAAATATTTCAGAAGACAATTAACAATTTATTCACAACCCAGCCAAGATGAGATATCCCACCTTGTACATGGGCAAAGCTTTTGTAGATTTCTTAAAACAGGCAGTGCTATCCACATCTTAATGCGCTTAAAAGCGCTTATAGTTACAGCGGGACAGACTATGGTCTTTCTATAAGCAGGCTGAGAGAGTTCATGGGGAAGAAGACACGGACGTATACCACATTACCAAGCCAAGAGGTTAGGACAGAGAATGCATAACTACTACCACTATCCACCACTGGCTTACTCACTTCATGAAGGCATGTGTACTGAATGTGATACGGAGCCACCTTCTCTTCTCCTTTTATTTCCACATTGATTTGCAAGCGTATAGCACCAGATACAGCAGATTTATCGGTTCTTTTCTCTAGAAAGAAAAATAAGTAGTAAGTTAAAAATATTTTTCTTTGCACAGGAACTAGCTCTTATGGCCACAGCAACACAACGTGGTAAAAGGAAAACACACGTGGAAGTCCAGGCTGACTTTAAAGTGAAATACGACCCTTCAATATCGTCTTTTTCAAAGTGTTCGTGTAAATTTGCATTTACCAAATGAACACAAGTGCCATGACATATTTACGCCGTTTCACACACAACTGGGATAACTACATGCGTATTTCAGACATGCGCAATTCAACGCATAAAAAAATAATTAAAACGCAGTTCTTTAGCCCCACTGGCACAGGACAGCCACTCTACTAACACGCAGGTTATTGAATCAGAAAAGCCAAAGAACATGCTGAAACCCTTTATTTCAGAGAGTATGTGAATCTGAGAATGAATGTAGTGACCATGAAATTAAGGAACTAAGGGTTAAACTTTCAAAAGCAACTACGTGATTTAGGAGACTACAACCCATTTTCAAAGTTGATTTAGACGTGTAGGCGTCAAAGGGCATGTCTACTACATGAACACTCTGTGGCAAGCTGGTGTGTAAATCTACAGCGTCCCAAAGTGCCACACACTAACTGCCCATGTGAACCCTGCAGCTGTACACTAAAGGTTCCCTAGTGCAAATTCAGATACTGCTGTTAGACAGGTTTTCAGTCTCGTTGACTTAGGTTCCTAAGTCACTTCTGAAAAGGGGACTTGAGCACTTCAGAACATTTTACCCTCACTTCAGTTGGATTAAGAGCATAGCTCTGCCCATGTACCTCGATCACATGCTGAAGTGCTTGTTATATCAGTCCAGGCCCTTAAACAGGTTTGCAGCACCCTGTGGAATTCTGCACCTTGGCTTTCCAGCACCGAGGGACAATTAAGACAGATTCTGTGGTGGTTTTGTGTTGGAGACTACCATAATCCCAGCCAATTTATTTCTACTTGTTTCACACATGAGAATTGGAATCCAGTCTCTACAGGTAACAGGATATTCTAAGCCACTGCACCACCAACCCCACAGGTTTATTTTTCCCTGGCGTTAGGCTACCAAAGGTTAGTCCACACAGCACTTGTTCAGTTTTGAAACCTGGGATCCACCTTTCCTGAGACACCCCTGCTGGAATGGGTAACAACTTGTGCTCTTTTTTCATCTCTTACACAGTTAGAGATCTCATTCTTGTCACCCAAAAATGTTTTTTCCCTTAAATTACTTTGCAGTACAACGTCCTTTACTACTACATGAGTCAACAACACAATGCTGTTGAAAAAAAAAAAGATGCAATTTTGGGTTGCATCAACAGAGGCATAGCATGCAAGTCACAGGAGGGGATAGTACTGCTCCACTCCATTGTCACCCCAGGGATTCCCCTATTCAAACACTCTTGATTCTTTTCATCTTTGTAAATCTTGAGGCCTGCACCTGGTCAAGGTGCACAGTGCTGGCTCCAGGGATGCTCACAGTTCTCAATGTTGATCGGGTTATCCCGAAGCCTTCCCTATACAAACATCATTCAATAACCATGACAGTCAACTAGTTCTTAGCTTCCAGCAGAGACCCCACACAACCCCCTTCCGGGACATACTGAGAAGACGGTCAGACACAGGGGTAATATACCTATGTGGCTATGCCGGGCATGTCTTTGTCACCATTACAAGAGAGTAGAGCAGAGTGGATTCCCATAGGCAGAAGGTGCAAATACCACTCACTGAAGTTTGTCTTTGTTTTGGTCCTTGCTTGTAGAATGCTGTTAACATTACCCCTATGGTAGTGGTGGCCAAGGTATGACTCGAAGGACAAATGCATCCAGCCCAAGAGCTCTACAATGGCTCTTAACTTGAATATAGACGTTATAGTCTGTGGAGACTACAAGTCTCAGCATGCAAAAATGTATTTTGATTTGAGATGTTCTGATCTAACCTAAGAATGGCCCTACTGGGTCAGACCAAAGGTCCATCTAGCCCAATATCCTGTCTTCTGACAGTGGCTAATGGCAGGTGCCTTAGAGGGAATGAACAGAACAGGGAATCGTCAAGTGATCCATCCCCTGTTGCCCATTCCCAGCTTCTGGCAAACAGGGGCTAGGGACACCATCTGAGTCTCGACAGACTACAATCAGGACAAATGCAAAGCACTCCACTTTGGAAGGAACTATCAGTTGCACACATACAAAATGGGAACTGACTGCCTAGGAAGGAGTACTGCGAAAATGGACCTGGGGTCCTAGCGTATCACAAGCCAAATATGAGTCAACACTGTAACACTGTGCCACTGTAAACTCTCTAGTGTAGACATGGCTTAGTCCTGCCATGAGTGCAGGAGACTGGACTAGAAGACTTCTCAAGATTCCTTCCAGTCCTACGATTCTATGATTCTACATTGTCATACTAAAGATAAGCACCACGGCAAACTCCTCCATTTGATGCACGCAAGGTATGGCCATCAGGCTACTTGCATACCATCCACATTTGAGCAAAGACTGGATACTCCTGGTCAACACCAGGCCCAACTCTCTGGACAACACACTTAACGATGAAAATGTCTTCAAAGGAATCAATCAAGAAAACACATTTAAAGATCTCATTCTTGTCACCCAAAAATGTTTTTTCCCTTAAATTACTTTGCAGTACAACGTCCTTTACTACTACATGAGTCAACAACACAATGCTGTTGAAAAAAAAAAAGATGCAATTTTGGGTTGCATCAACAGAGGCATAGCATGCAAGTCACAGGAGGGGATAGTACTGCTCCACTCCATGCTGGTTTGGCCTCAGCTGGAGTACTGTGTCCAATTTTGGTCACCAATGTAGATAGAGAAAAGATGTAGAGAAACTGGAAAGGATCCAGAGGTGAGTGACAAGGATGATCAGAGGGATGGAATTCAAGCCATAGGAGCAAAGGCTGAAGGAACTGGGTATGTTTAGTTTGGAAAAGAGGACGTTAAGGGGAGACACGAGATCTGTCTTCAAATACATGAAAGGCCGCTATAACAGAAGATGGAGAAAAGTTGTTCTCTCTTGCCACAGGGAGCAGGATAAGAGGCAATGGGTTCAAACTATAGAATAGTATGTTTACATTAAATCTCAGGAAAAAATTCCTAACTGTAAGAACAGTAGAACAATGGAATAAACTTCCTCAGGAAGTTGTGGAATCTCCTTCACTGGAGATTTTTATAAAGAGTCTGGATAGCCATCTGTCTTGGATGGTTTAGACACAACAAATCCTGCATATTGGCACTGGCAGTCCCTTCTAACCCCATAATTCTACAGTAACGACAGGAGTAATGAACTCGTGGAACAAGGAGTTGCCTCTTCAAGCGTTGGAACACAGTGAAATGAATCGTAAGCCACTCCTCTGTCACACATCTCTGATGCTATACAGAGCTGTGGCAGGAAAGGACTAAAAGCTACTAACAACAATTTATCAGAGCATTAGAAATATTTGCTGGCAATCAAGCCTGTCCCAAATTCAAACATATGTCTCGAGCTCTGCAACAGAACTGATGTGTCTAACAGAGCATTTTCCTCTACACAGAGTTGAATGTTCCTCAATTGTTGCTGCATAAGACAGACAGTTAATGATGCTAAAAATAGAGGTGTTAAATGCTTCCACCAGGTAAGCACATACTGCTTTAGGATGTGAGGACATTATACCCCCTGATTACCATCTTCATCACTTGCATTAACGTGGCCAGGATGCAACAGAAGGTAACATGCCTCAGGTCCAATTTTCCAGACTTCAAACCCACTTCTCCACAACCCTACTGACCCACACGGGCTGCCCATTAACCCCGGCAACAATTTAAAAAATGAATGCTCCTTTGTAGTGCAGTAAATAAAGAAATCTGTTATAACTTCAGAAATCCATAAAATATATCTGCCTGCATCCCTAATCTAGGCTAATCAAAAAATCAAAAACCAAATTCCCATTATAGATGACCAAAGCGCTAAGGGTTAGAATTATTGAGACTATCCAGTGCTGAGTTTCTTTGCACATTGACAACCAGCGGGACTTTCTGAGAGTGGAATGGACTACACTGTCTTTAAACTACTCTTCTGTTAGAATTCACTAAAGGAGCCTTTCATACAGACTTAACAGAATGAACTATTTCATTCCACCTACAGATCTTTTTGGAACGAACTCCCACCTCCTAATCCTGCTCAATTAATTGACCACTAAAATGAGGCACAGTGGGAACCCACAATGTCTGGGGTATGGCCATCTTATTTTTGCCAGCCTGGTCCTTTGTGCCTTTTCCGACACTCTGCAAGGGAACAGCATCTTTAATAAGTTACTAACTCCTCTGAGCTTTACTTAACTTTTCTTGCTATGAGGAGAAACATCCCCCACTAAGATGTCCTCTGTGTCCTCATATGAGCCTTCAAGCTTCCCCACTTTCCTGCTTCTAATTTTTTTTTTAAATATAAATCAGTCTAAGTGAAATGTGCTCATCTAACAGCCCTTGAGATTGAAAGCCTGTTTATTCACAGTACAGGTACAGCATAGACCCTGGCATCTCATACCCACAGGGAGCACCTCATAGGATGAGAGAGGAGTTCAGACTCTGGTTTCACTAAGTAAGCATCCAACAAACAAATTAATTCCAACTGAGGGTCACATGTGTCTGCTAAGAAGTGGACTGAAATTCAATAATTTATTTCTTATAGGCCAGTGAACAGTTCTCCAATGCTTAAAACTTTCAGTTATCTATTATTTGAGGGTGGATTTGAACTGGTGACCTACAGGTGAAAGATGCCATATCCCATTCCTCAGTCAATCTGCCATCCCCAAAGCCCTCTTACTTCTGTTAAACAATAGAAAAAACTCTCTCCTCCATTCTCAGCCTAGGCAGAACAGAAGAGAGTCTAGAAACAAAAACTGAACCTACATCTCCCACACAGCTGTACAGAATAATAATCACTGGGCCCACTGGGGAGGCCAGAGGAAAATTTCAGCCCAGTACAGATGTCAGAGTTTGTCCCTACTCCATCCGCAAACTCAGTTCTTTAAAAGCAGCTTCTCCTTCAGCCACTCTGGAGACACTGCTCCCCCTCCCAGAAACACACATCTGGGGCCCTGTGAGAGGCAGCAGAAGCATTAGGATGAAGGCAGTTAGTAACCTTCAAAATTCTTTCCCATCGCCATGTGCACATACTGTCACTGCTCAGATACAACTCACCCGCTTACTGTCGGGAGGGGGTGGGCACCATCACCACCTCCTCCCTCTTTCCCCCATTTTGTGAATGGCCCCTACATCTCCAAAAAAAAAAGTGTGTGTGGCCAAAACTATTTGGCACATTTGTGTCAAATTCACAAATAGTTTCAGGCCAACCAAAACTTAATTTTTTAGCAAATCTACTATTCATGGAAAAAATTTCACCCAGCTCTAGTGATTTATAATGCTTGCAAAGAGAAAATACTCTGCCTTTATGATTCTCCAAAGAGCATGTATTAGCGAATGTTTTTCACTGGGAAGACCACCACCTGATAGCCTGCCCCGTAACATACCCCCAAAACTCTTCAGAGTCACATGTTCTTTGGAAATTACACTAATGCACACACAGGATTATGAGAGTTCCTAACCCAAACATGCCTAATTTAGTAAGGAAAGTTCCATACATTTGTAAACTCTACCAAGGATTGTAATCTAAATTAGAGGACTGAAAAGCTACTCACCAAGATTGTACCATACATCCATCTCTCCACTCAATGTGCGGACTTCGATGATGGTCTGCCCCAAAAAATCGTCCGACTCACGTTTCAGCCTCTGCTTGACACGAGACTTAATGTCGTCATCCTCATCCCAGACACGCACTTTGATCCGATCCGAGGAGTTATGGCACTCACTGTGAACAAGACAAGTAAGTACAGATGGGTGACCAGCCACAGAATCCAAGGGTGTAGAATGCATGGTTTTACAGCATGACTGACCATTCTCTGCTATTCGTTTAGTGGTATTTATTTCATAGATGTTCATTCACATTGGCAGCTGATGGCGAAGGATGCGAGATGCAAATAAAATTTAAGTACTCAGCAGGAATTGTGCTACAGAGTTTTTGAAGGCCTTCTGCTACAATATAGCCACAAAACTCTGAGGACCCAGACCACTACCAGGGACTGCTAGTGGATACTGCATGCCGCCTAGTGATTTGATTATAGTGTATTAGTCAAAGGTTCAAACTTCTGTTAAACAACAAAGAACTTTCTCCTCCATTCTCCTCTCCTCACCAAAGAAGACTCAAATGGAGGCCATTAACTTAATTTTGTTTGAGACTTTATTAGTGTCACTAGCAAAGCAACAGTGTATTAATGCACAAAACAACACAGTCAGGGAGATGATATAATACTGCTTCTGTGTGGGAGGAAGGGATGGGAAACAGCAACTCTAACGAAGTTGGTATTTAAGAGCTACAACGTGCCCCAGGCAGGGAACTAAAGAAATCTCCCTCAAAAAGGCAGCTTTGTTCTCAGTTGAAGCTTCACATCTGATCTGATGCCGAGAAAAAAAAACTCAGGTATCCTAAAACCTAAACAGGCAGGTGACCTGCACAACACACAGAGGAAATGAGAGAACTCAAAAGCTATAGGGACACAGCAAATAGAGAGATCTTGTCACAAAAGCCCTGCTCATTTATTGGGCATGTGATGTGATAAAGCAATTTGAATGCTCATATAAAAGCATGACAAGGGTGATTACTCGTAACCGTTACAAATGTCTGGCCGCACCAGAAAAAAAAAGGGGGTTCCTGAAAATATGGCAATTCCTGCTGAAGGTCTATGTTCTAGCCTTTTCAAACCTACTGCATCTGTTGCTAAGCAACAGGGGGAGAATGAACAAGGAGAGAGAATGAAGAAATGGGTCAAAAGAGATTTCCTAAGCCAAGTCAGTGAAATGTGGCAGCAACCGTGGTGTTTACATGTTCCCTACCAAGAACTCATTTGGTCTCCCATTGCCATCTATTGTGTTTTAGGATTCATTAACAGACAGCTAATGCAGCAGAGCTCACTGTGAATTAAATGGAGAAATGCAGAGGCAATTTGAGGTTGTCCTGATTGTTTGCTGCTGTTTGAAAACCAATCCATTCTGCATTTCTCAAGGGATTCAAAGTACCACTTAGAATACAGAAAACCAATGTTTCAATCAATATTTCCCTGGTTTTAATTCTTTCCCTCCCATGTGTAAACATGTGCAGGTGTTTAAGATGATTTGTTGCATGGTGTGCTGAAGAGGAGATGCTAAGACTGTTGGTTCTTCCTCTAGCTCTCAAACCTATTTGGGCATGTTGCCATCTCTGTAGGCCCAGCAGAATAAGAGGCTACACACTAAAAATTCTTCATAACCCAAACAAATATTATAAAAAACTCTCTCAATTTCCTAGGGGCAGATTTGGAAAGGTATTTAATTGCCCGAAGATGCAGACAGACATGCACAATGGGATTTTCACAAGCTCCTAAGCAAGTCAGGTCCTTAACTCCCACTGACAGCATTTTTCGGTGCCTAAGTACTTCTGTTAACCTGGTCCTAAGTCTTGACCCTCTACTACAGTCTGTCAAAAGTACTGCTTCTTTAGGAAGATACTCAAGCTGATTTGACCTAGTTTGATCTGCACTGTGCGCCTTTTAAACTTGAACATGCACCATACGAGGTACCTGGAATAACGGTGTTCTCTTTCTTTACTTACAACAGGGGACCGCGCAGCACCACAATCACCACAGAACGTTTTCAGTGGTACCAACTGGATCTGTACACCTCAAGACTGTTACTGTCTCTACCATACACACCTTTCCTTGAGGGATGCTACTATTTTTATGGGGCTTCTACCTCTTTGTATTTCCTCTCCTGGCTCTGTACCAGAGTGATTCACCGGAGCTCTCTGTGCTGTTAAACACCTGAACCTGGGGGGACAAGGCAAGGGGCGGGGGGGAGGCGGGGTTTAAGGCAGAGTACACCTATAGAATCTGCAGTCTTTGTTACTGTTGAACCAAGACAGCCAGGCTGATATCAGCCCCACTTCTACAGAAACGAGAGCTCTGGGATCCAACTCGAACACGTTTATTGCCTGGGAGATGAAGGACAATGCTCACTTTTAAATTGAAACAGCATAAACCCAGTCTTGTGGAGTCTGAACATATATCGCACTGTTAAAAAACGTCCCCACAATGCAGGAAGCAGCACCTCTCTAACGCTCTCCAGCACTTGCTGCACTTCTTATGTTCCTGTTTTCTCTTTTTTAAATATATTTATATTAGTTGGAGTGTTTTTATTGTGATTGTTTGTGACGTTTCACCTTGATTGTCTAGTTGTACTGAATTATTTAAAATAAAAATTTTCAATAAAAATAATGTACAAAAACCAGGGGGTAAAAAATGAATAAAAAAAGATGAAATGAGTCAAACTGCTTCCAAGATGGTGTTTTCAGTGGGGGTCTAAATTAGCTGTTACCACTCAAGAAAGATCTTGGACTCATTGTGGAGAGTTCTCTGAAAACATCCACTCAATGTGCAGTAGCCGTCAAAAAAGCAAACAGAATGTTGGTAAACATTAAGAAAGGGATAGATAGATAGATACTAAACTGGGAGGAGTGGTAGATACGCTGGAGGACAGGGACAGGATACAGAGGGACCTAGACAAATTGGAGGATTGGGCCAAAAGAAATCTGATGAGGTTCAATAAGGATAAGTGCAGGGTCCTGCACTTAGGAGGGAAGAACCCAATGCACAGCTACAGACTAGGGACCGAATGGCTAGGCAGCAGTTCTGTGGAAAAGGACCTAGGGGTGACAGTGGACGAGAAGCTGGATATGAGTCAGCAGTGTGCCCTTGTTGCCAAGAAGGCCAATGGCATTTTGGGATGTATAAGTAGGGGCATAGCGAGCAGATCGAGGGACGTGATCGTTCCCCTCTATTTGACACTGGTGAGGCCTCATCTGGAGTACTGTGTCCAGTTTTGGACCCCACCCTACAAGAAGGATGTGGAAAAATTGGAAAGAGTCCAGCGGAGAGCAACAAAAATGATTAGGGATCTTGAACACATGACTTATGAGGAGAGGCTGAGGGAACTGGGATTGTTTAGTCTGCAGAAGAGAAGAATGAGGGGGGATTTGTTAGCTGCTTTCAAGTACCTGAGAGGTGGTTCCAGAGAGGATGGTTCTAGACTATTCTCAGTGGTAGAAGAGGACAGGACAAGGAGTAATGGTCTCAAGTTGCAGTGGGGGAGGTTTAGGTTGGATATTAGGAAAAACTTTTTCACTAGGAGGGTGGTGAAACACTGGAATGCGTTGCCTAGGGAAGTGGTGGAATCTCCTTCCTTAGAAGTTTTTAAGGTCAGGCTTGACAAAGCCCTGGCTGGGATGATTTAATTGGGGATTGGTCCTGCTTTTGAGCAGAGGGTTGGACTAGATGACCTCCTGAGGTCCCTTCCAACCCTGATATTCTATGATTCTATGAAGACAGAAAATATCATATTGCCTCTATATAAATCCATGGTATGCCCACATCTTGAATACTGTGTGCAGATGTGATCGCCCCATCTCAAAAAAGATACATTGAGTTGGAAAAGGTTCAGAAAAGGGCAACAAAAATGATTAGGGGTATGGAACAGCTTCCATATGAGGAGAGATTAATCAGACTGGGACTTTTCCAAGCTGAAAAGAGATGATTAAGGGGGGATATGATAGAGATCTACAAATTATGACTGGTGTGGAGAAAGCAAATAAGGAAGTGTTATTAACTCCTTCTCCTAACACAAGAACTAGGGGTCATCAAATGAAATTAATAGGCAGCAGGTTTAAAACGAACAACAGGAAGTATTTCTTCACACAACGCACAGTCAACTTGTGGAACTCCTTGCCAGAGGATGTTGTGAAGGCCAAGACTATAACAGGGTTCAAAAGAGAACCAGATAAGTTCATGGAGGATAGGTCCATCAATGGCTATTAGCCAGGATGGACAGGGATGGTGTCCCTAGCTTCTGTTTGCCAGAAACTAGGAATGAGCGACAGTGGATGGATCACTTGAGGATTACCTGTTCTGTTCATTCCCTCTGAAGCACCTGGCATTGGCCACTATCGGGAGACAGGATACTGGACTAAATGGACCTTTGGTCTGACCCAGTCTGGCCGTTCTTATGGGAGGGAGGGAAATTGGTGAAACTGTGACTTAATGCCTCCTTTTCACAAATAAGAGTTTCCCTGGCTTATGCCATTATCATTTATTTATTATTTTAATTCCTGTAGTGCTCTGATGGCCAAATTAGACTCAGGACACCATTGTGCTTAGTATAGTGAAAACACAGAGGAAGACACAGTCCCTGCTCTGAAGAGTTTACAGTTAGAGCTGGTAAGGAATTTTTGACAAAATATTTATCAGAAAATGCAATTTCATTGACAAAAATTGTTTGTGGAGAAGGGTCGGTGTCTGTGAATTTCCTGATTCAAACAACATTTTGGAAAAAATGTTTTGAAATTGTCAAAACATCCAGTTTCAACATTTTTTAAATGAAATGTTCCATTTTACAGTTCAAAACTTTTTAATTCAAAATTTCAGCTTATTTATAGTCTAAAAAAGTAAACAAATTAAAAAGGTTGAAACTGAAATGAAACATTTCAACTGACCCAATCAAAAAAAAACAATCCTGTATTATCTCTTTGTGAACATTTTCAAGATTTTGACTTTTTGTTCCAATCTGTGGCAGGAAACATTTTGGAAAAATGGAAAATTCTTCCAGGATACAAAAACTGTTTCCCTATTCAGTTCTACCTACAGTGTTTTTAAGACAAGAGGAAACTTGTGGGTGTAACAAACAATTGAAGGAACGGGGGAGGGAGGACAAGGGAAAGAGGAATAT